GGGCACTTTTGAAACTGTTACCCTTCAACTCACTCAAACGGTGATGCTTTTCATCTGAAACCAGAGCGTCCAGCCCCCGTTTGCACCAGCATCGCCAAAGCGGGGGATTAAACCGATTTTGTTCTTTCGGTGGCCGCTTGAGGGTGGATCCGGCCCGAGAGCGGGATCCACCCGCCCACCAAGAGTGAAAATAATTGGAAGTGTGTGTGACTTTTTGCCCTGCAATGCAACCCCCCCGGGATGTTTCCTGCAGCTCTTCCCCTCACGCCAATCCCTGCCCAGAGGTTTTATTCGTCTTCCTCTCAGCATTGTTCGGGGACATGTCAGAACGGAGCTTTCCTGGCAAGGGCCAGTGTAGTATCCCGGAGTGCAGGACTGAGCTCACTGCAGGGCAGAATTGAGGGGCACCGGCTGAGCTGTGGGTAGGGTGACCAGATGTCCCAATTTTTGGGGTCTTTTTCTTATATAGGCTCCTATTACCCCCCACCCACTGTCCCAGTTTTTCACACTTGCTGTCTGGTCACCATAGCTGTGGGTGGGGAGGCCTGAGCTGGGGCAGCAGGGGGCTGTGGGAATAGCAGAGCATTGCAGGACAGGACTGAGGGGAAATTAGTCCAGTACCTGCTCACGCTGCTCCTGGCTCCAGCCTGCGTTCAATCCTTCCCTCCCTTTCATATTCACTTGGGTTATAGCAGCCTTGCCTGTAACTCCCTGGCCAGTCCTGATAGGGGGTTTGAAAGTGCATCTGAATGTACAGTGCTGTGATCTAGGACTTAGACAATGTGATGAGTTTCCAGGGCTCAGCAGCTAACATAGGCGGGGAAGGGGAGGGGGACGAAGGTCAAAAGGCAGGGAAGGAATTTCAATCTGTCTTTGCCAGCGCCTGTGCTTACTGCCAGGTAAGCAAGCTGCCTTCATTTTGTTAGCTTAACCCTCTGACCTAGGTCTGGGACAAGCAGCACGGGGCATAAATCCCGGAGCAGCAAAGCTAAAGTGGGCTCAGGAAAATGCTTGGAATCTGGCGGCCGGTGGTAATTAAACTTCCGCATACAGCAGCATTGCTGGGCGACTGTACAACACCCAGAAGTGGCTGCATTTCACTGCTGGGCGAGCGTTCCCCGGGCAGCATTGCTGTGTGACTGTAAAACAGCAGTTAGGTCCCACCCCAGAGGACGCTGCATTTCAGGGTTGGGTGAAGTCATCCCTGCAAACGCGGGGCCAAATCTGGATCCCATTCCCGTTCTTGCAACCCTGCTGAAGTCAAGTAGGGGGGTGTAACATGAGGGCAGATCTTGCCGCCGGTTTGTAAAGCGTGGTGCGTATCCCCTGGTGGGAAAGGAAGCCAGCAAAAAGGGGAAATCAACTCCCCCCGGAAAGGCTGTTTTCCAGCCCCAGCCCAAACACACCCTGCCTTCAGATCTTAGCAGCTGGCTGTTCGGGGCTGTGTTCTTTCCTCCCGGCTACACCTCTGCTACACACACCAGGGATAAGGACTCTAGGAGCTGTTCCAGTCCCTCCCAGTAACCCCCCCCAAACCTTCCCACTCCACACAACCCCCATCGATAGTGCATCTACCCAGGAAAGTATGAAATATTTGCAAAGCCTTCCAACATTCACCCCAGCTCAGCCAGCCCCTCTCGGCAGCTGATCCTCCTGGACTGCAACCAGCTCTGAACCTACAGCTGAATCCAGGTCTTCAAGAAACAAAATCATGTCTCTCCCGTTCCCCTAAAGCAGTGAGAAATCCATGAAGCGGATTCCTTCCCCCTCCTCCTCCCCGGCTGCTCCCTGCAGAAATCAGCCGCCCACAGCTCCAGCAAAACCCACAGGGAGGAGGCAAAGCCCACTAGAGCCCAGCTCCCTGCCAGGAAAGAAGAGGATTTTACCTGAAACTTGCCTGTCCCAGCACAGCAGCAGTCTGGGCTCGCCAGCAAAAGCCCTGTCGTCCCCCTGCAGGACAGACTCCTAACGCAGGCAGAGCAGCGGAGCCACTCCTCTGGGCCTGGCTCTCTCGCACACACTGGTGCAAAGGGGCCCGGGCACTCCTTATGTAGCACCCGCCTTCCCACCTCCACTCATCCGCTGTCAGCCAGCCTCCCCTGGCTCCAGGGGGAAAGGCTGCAGCATTCACACGCACAGCCCAGAGCAGGGCTCCACATTCCCAGACAAAGGATGGGGTTTCGGGGAGCTTCGGCTTGGTTTAGGGGATGGTAGCTGGGCAGGGAGATTTATGTCCCAATCCCAGCACTCTTTCTTCCCCTCTCCGCACCCCAATTAACCCTCGCCGGCACAGACACAGAGCAATCACCAGGCCAGATCAGAACCACGCTCCATCTAGCCCAGCCTCAGCCTCATGAGAACCAACCCCATACGGTGTACCCGCTCCATACCAGGCACATTCCCCGAAAGCTACACTGCCCTACCCTATCGCAATCCCCTGGCACCCGAAATAACGCCCCAGGGTGTGACTGTGCTGCAGCTTGTTCCTAGAGAATTCATAGGGTTGGCAGAATTTCAATGGCTAATATCGGTGTTTATTTTTAAGCATTTTTTCCTCTTTTTATTGATTTAAATTCCCATAGCCATGGGAAATCATGGAGGGGCTCAGACAACTGGTGAACGGCTCCGAATGAGACAGCTTTAGAAACCGCTCAAACACAAAGGGTCGGCATCACACCTCAAAATACACTCAGCAAATACCCCTAAAGCGACAAATCCGCCCTGGTTTTACTGTTCAGTTGCTGGTCCTTTTGTAACAAGCCTAGGTCAGACGTCTACATGGCGGGATTGGGACTCTAAATTCTCCAGCAGCATTTCTCTGACTGTGCCAGTCTGTAGATTTTGATATTATTTGTCAGTTTGGGTGTGGGCAGTGAAATCAATGTTTATCGACATTTACCAGGAAAAATCGAATCCCACCAAGTCTAAGGATCCTGCAGTGGTCCCAGGGCATATGTGCGCTCCGGGCGCTACCAGGGAACAGCTACAGATACGCTGCTGTAGCCCCCAGAGCGTAGACACTTCCTATATTGATGGAAGGGTTTTTTCAGTCAGTGTAAATAATCCACACCCCTCCTGAGCCGTGGTAGCAAGTATACACAAGGGGTTCACATGTTTTACACCTCGAGCGATGCAGATAGGTCCATCAAGATTGTAAAGTGTAGACCAGGGCCTGGTTAAGAAAGAAGCCCCTTGTGAGAAGTATCAGGGGGTAGCCGTGTTAGTCTGTATCTAGAAAAACAACAAGGAGTCTGGTGGCGCCTTAAAGACTAACAGATTTATTTGGGCATAAGCTTTCGTGGGTAAAAACCTCACTTCTTCGGATGTACCAACAACCGAACGGGGTGTCCCCACCTGCATAGGGCCCCTGCAAAGATGGGGGTAGCCCAGTCCCCAAGTGGGGACACAGCCAAGTTTAGTTGCTAGAGCAGGGGACTGGAAGTCCAGATGCCTAGGTTCTACGTCTCTGCCACTGACTCACTGCGTCACCTTGGGCAAGTCACTTCCTTGCTCTGTGGCTCAGTTTCCCCCCCCTTTGTGAAACAGGGATATCGTATTTATTGACCCACCTTGGTAAAACACTCGCGACCCCCAGATGAAACAGACAGGCAAGCAGACCAGCTGGCCCAGAAGAGATGTCAGGGCGTGTGAGCGACAAAGCGACCTGCCCTTAACGAGACACCACTCACGATTACAGCGAGGAGCGCCTATAGCTCTTGTCAGGCTGAGGGGCGTGAGCTGAGCGTGGGCGCTCAGGTCAGAGGGGATGTGGAAGGGAGGGCTCATACGTTTTAACTTCTTCCAGCTGCTCATTGTAAATTACATGGACTGATTTTCAGAGCAGCTCAGATCCTACTGAGGCTCCACGTAAGGGGACAGATTTTCAAGAACACTCAGGACATTGAGTGCCAAGAACTTTTGAAAATCTGGCTCCTAGCGTCCCTTAGGCTCAGGTATCAGCAGGTAACTTCCTCCCTTACATGTCCCTTCGGCATCTTTCACTAGACCACCCTTACGGACTGTTAATCCATGCCACCGGCTAAGCAGCAGATGATCACCAAGTAGAGTGACCAGATGTCCCAATTTTATAGGGACAGTCCCGATTTTTGGGTCTGTCATAATAACTATAAAGGGAAGGGTAACAGCCCTCCTGTGTACAATACTATAAAATCCCTCCTGGCCAGAGACTCCAAAATCCTTTTACCTGTAAAGGGTTAAGAAGCTCAGGTAACCTGGCTGACACCTCACCCAAAGGACCAATAAGGGGACAAGATACTTTCAAATCTTGGTGGGGGGAAGGCTTTTGTTTGTGCTCTTAGTTTTTGGGGAGAGTTCGCTCTTGGGACTGAGAGGGACCAGACATCAATCCATGCTCTCCAAATCTTTCTGAACAAGTCTCTCATATTTCAAACTTGTAAGTAAACAGCCAGGCAAGGCGTGTTAGTTTTATCTTTGTTTTCTCAACTTGTAAATGTA